CGATCCTCACAGATGCAGCTTGTACTGTGTAGTTCACATTCAGCCTACAGAGACTTAAATACTCCTCACAGGTGCTCTTTGTCTGTGCTGAGATTATTTACACGAGCTCCTCCCTGAGTTCATTCTCGCAGGTTTTGCAGTCAGTCTGGTGTTTCTGGTTCTTCAGCTTCAGCTGCTGACTCCACTGTAGGTAATCCATAGCAAGAAATAAGGCCCAGTGATTGAGCAAACAGAGGTTAAAGCAGGGACGTTCTGTGTCACAACACTGAACTCTTATTGTAACGTTGACAAAGTTTCATCTGCTGCCTGCTACACTACACCATGCAAACATTCCCAGTTTTTTAGCGTAGCAAGAAAATACAAGTGAACACCTTACATGATAGTAGCATCAACTTTACTTTGTGAAGTTACTATCACGTGTTTATATTTATTAAACATAAAGATATAGAATAAAACAAAAAGTACTGTCACAGTAAATCTCAGTAAATACAATTTAATAATATTGTTCAGAATAGTTTTCTCTTCTTTTCTGTGTAATTCATATAAAGTTAACGAACTTAAATGCTTTTTAGTTTTAACTAACTTGCATTTTTGTCACATGACACAAGTTCGCCTTTGCACCCGCAGCTCGTTTAGCCTCGGATCTTGAAAATCGATGCAGAGGAGGAGGAGCCGTCTATGAGCATGCACATCACAGATTTGTTGCTTTGTCAGGTCGCAAGTGGCAACTTCAGCTTATCAGCTCCGAGTTGCAGAAAGATTTTCAGAGAGCCAAACCGGTTTTGTAGAGCTCCATCTTATCTTTGAGAGAAGAATAACCCCGACTCAGTCACACATTAGAGGGAACGTTGGTCTTTCTCTGTGTGTCAGATCATACAATGTGTCAGTTCCAGCAGACTCAGTTGCAGATTAATGATGCATATTGTGCATTAATCTGAAGTTAATCATTAATATTAGTAATTATTATTTAGTGTGCACAGTAACTTCATGATGTTGCAAGTGCCATTTATCAAGTGTCCTGCACAAAGTTTTATCAGCGCTTAG